TCTGACCAACGACTCCCTTGTCAGTTGCTCAGCATCAATGAATCCCTGGCGCTGCCCGCGGCAGCAGAGTTATCCGTCGGCCCGTCGCAGCTTCCCTGAGATGTAGCGAAGCGCGCGACGTAAGACTGCTGATTGCGCGAGGGGCCCCGGGAAGGCTCGGACCTTCAGAGTTCGGGTGGCCCGGAGGCGGCGCATCGACTTCGCGCTTTTTCCTGTGCCCTTTTCCATGGGGAGACTCCTTTCCCCCGAATCCCCCGCTGGGGCAGCGGCGACCTTCTATTCTGCGGGGCCTGCGCCCGCTGAGCCAGCGCGGCCCGCGGGCTTCTCGCGCCCGCGGGCGCCCCCTATGTTTTGCCGGGGGCAGGTTCCCCATTGGAAAGCAGATTTGTATGCAACTTCTGTCTGCGCGCGCCCATCTCGGCGCGGTCCGCGCCCTTTACCGGCGGGGCCAAGCCCCGGGCGGCCCCTGACGCGGCCTCGCTGGCCCACTTGCGCCGCCATCGCCCCCCCCGATTCAGCGCCATTTTTCGGGGGTGCAGATTGAAATCTTCGCGCTCACGATCTATCAGCTTATGTAACTCGCCAAACCGCCAATCATAAGCACGGATCCCGTCTCCGATTGCATGCTCGGCTCGGAGAGATCATGCCAGGCAAACGCTGCCATCCTTGGCGCGCCCTTCGTTTGTCTGCAGAAATGTCCGCGGGCCGCGGCGGCCATCTCAGGGGGGGGGCGACTTGCCGCCGCGCGCTTCACGGTGAACAGCCCTCAATTCGTCGTAGAAGTACAAGCAGAACCTGGTCTGGCTTGTTTCGACCAAACTTTATCTTCAGGAGGTCTCGTAAAAATGCAATGCCGTCCATGCTCTGAGCGAATCCAGACCCAGACGCGCATTGCACGACTCATTTCCCGGCCCGTCAATGCAGACGGATTACGTTCTGGTCATCATGCTCCACCCTTCCATTTGGGCGCCGAGATGGAATTGCTGCACGGGCAGGCCCCTCCCTCTGTCAGGCCCGATGCGATTAGCATGTCAGGGCGAACGGCGCGCCCTGCACCCTTCAACTTCGGCGCCTGAACAGCGGGGCCCACGGCTTCCATGATTCAGGGCTGAGCGCCGGCAAAGTCCGGTGAAGCTGGGGAAATCGCGCGCGCGGCATGCAACTTCCACGTTCTAATTTCGCCTGGGCCCGGAACGTGCCCCAACGTCACCTCGCTTGCTCGATCTGCCTGTCGCCAACGATCAAGAAGATCAAGCGGCGGCGAAAGGGCATCTCATTCGCCCCCGCCACCGCCAGGCGGGCAATCGCCTGGCCCAGGGAAGCGCGATTGTCTTTGCTCCCGTCATCCTCTCCGCGGGGATCAGCCCCGCCTCCGCCCCCGCTGCCCCCGGCTGAAGCGGGCTCGAGGGGGGGGTCGGCTGAGGTCCCTGGCGCCTTCGGGGGCCTGATCCGCGGGGGGGCCAGGCGACTGCGCTGGGGATCGCGGCGGTGGTGCTGCTGCGGGGAAATGAGAAATGCCTTCGAAATTGTTCTAAAGTAGCAGGGGACGCGCGCTCCTTGGCCTCTTGTCTCGGCGACGGTGAAAGGGCGAGCTGCGGCGTTCCCCGACCGACTTCTCCCCCTCACCCACCCCTTGCGGATTTGATTCGGGGCTTCGGCGCGCGCCCGGATGAAACCGGGGCCCCGGGTGTCCGCCTCTAAGGGAAAGGATTTCATTTACTCTCGTCATTCCAACCACCTCTTCTCTGCCTTTGATTCGGCACCCGCCATTCTCTGGGAGCAAGGTGCGCGTCGCTCGGCGCCGGAGTCTTCGCGCGCATTGCGCTGCGGCGCGCTGCCATGGGCGCAGCTTTCCCGCGTCGGCAGCGCGCAGAAATTGCACTTCTCCAGCGCCCCCCCCCCCCCCAGACGCTCGCAGCGTCCGCGGGCGCCCCGAACGATCCGAACCCCGCCCCCGCCGCCAACCGACTGCGTCGGGGCAAGAGTAAGGTCGCTCGGGGAAGGGGGCGGGGCGCTCCTTTGGCGACCCAGAAGGCCCAGCCCCAGCGCGCGCCCAACAGAGAGTTCCAGAATGTCGGGCGGCCAAAAGATGATCTCCGACGCCGCGAGCTGAACCGGGGGGGCGGTCGGCCCCCCTCGGCCTTCAGCTCGCCCCTGGGCGAATTCTGTTTCGAGAAATTCCAAGCTGCGTCGCGCGCTTCCCTGGTTGATCATGTCTTCTCTGATTTCCCTCGCTTCATCGATGGCGGCTTGCTCCCGAACAGTTGCCTGCTGCATGGCAGCGCTTGCTCTCTTCCTTTCATGCTGCGCTGCGTTGGCAGCCTGATCATGCCTCTTCATGGCGGACTGCCCGTTCTAATTCGCGCTGCGTCTGTCGTTCTTCCTGGGCAATTCTCTCCGCCGAAATCTGTTCTTCCCCCATGCTTGCCAATCTAGCTGCCTCCTCTGCCTTATTCTGGTCATTCTCAGCTTCTCTGCTTCCCGCGGAGACAGTTTTGAACTGCCTCCAAGGTCGCTCATTGATTAAGGTGAGCATCTCTGAGCTGATACCATCAATCGTTCCTTCTCTGGCTCGAACGTCTCTACCTGGATCTTCATCTGAGCAACCATCTGCTCGCTGGGGAGACTTTCTCTCGCGCGGCCTCTTCTAGTTTCTTGGAATACCATGCCATATTCGCTATGCATTGGCAATTTTATTATTGCAAATCAGTGCAGTCCGCGCAGAACCAGCTAATATTGCAATGTTTACATGTGACGGAGCGCGTCCCGCACGCTGGCCCACGGCAAAAACCGTTTTTTGTTCCCCGCCTTTCCCGGGCGCCGATTCTCCACCGACGCCGGGAAGTTGGGCCCCCTTGCCCAGAGAGACAACACAATAGAAAGCGCACTGCAAGAAAATTGCCCAGAAGGGCCGTTGGATCCGCGGCCACTCCTTGACCGAGTGCGACTACCATCGGCGGCCCGAGCTTAATGCGTCAAGCGGGGATCGGGGGTTTCGGAAGAAGGGGCACATTCTCTATATATGTCCCCTCCTCTTCCGTACCTTGTGCTTGACAGGTTGAACCTGCCAAATCAGCGACCCCTCCACTTGCCCCTTCCATCTCGCGAGTGATTGGATAGTCAGACGCCGTTCCGTGGCTCCTGGTTGAACCAGAACGCTGCGTTAGCGAATCATCTGCCTCCATGTTACTTTCGGATCGCCCCTGTGGCCTCTTTGGGAACGGCGTATCTCCAGTGGGGTCCCTCTGGTGGTCTACCATATCTGGTTCCCGAAGGCTCAACATATCAACTGGTGATTGAAAGATTTCTACAAGCCCCGCTCCCCGAGAAACTTGGTGACGGGATACCTGAAGGATGGTTGAATCCCCCCGGGTATGCCGGCACGTTCGTCTGGCATTATGCCATGGGCGTCAACTAAACCACCGGTTAAACCAGCAGCTTCGCTCGCAACGTGGCGCGATTCGGTTTTCAGTGATGAGCTCGACGAAATGATCTCCGAATAAACGAGTGCGGATAGTTCGATCAACGTTCATCTCTCTCACGTTGGTGTTCCGTCGAGAACTATGGAGGTATCCAGTCGGCGCATGGATAAACGGCACGTTGATAGGCACCATGGATTGTATATCGTGGCGTGGTTGATTTGCCAGGCCGCAATCATGAATCGATCAAGCACTTTCGTCTGAAAACAACTTCGTCGCCAGATGATCAGACTATTCTCACATAGTAAATGGTATCTGGTCTTGTTCTACTATCGTCCCCCTGTCTACTACATCCTTTCGACAACATAGACTGTACTACATAAGCTCGGCCAGTGGTTTGGATGTTTATCGACTCAGCCATTATGTGATGTAAGTCCGCTGAGCAGCGAATAAGTCTGATGGTACGCGCGCACTAGAGGGAGGCGTGCGTGCGGACCTTTCCTTTTACTTCGCAGCACAAACAGCTGCGGCCCACGCGATGACCAATGTCAGTAGTCGATGGCGGCGGCGGCGGCGGCAGCGTGCGACGGCAGGGACGGAGCCATATCAACAAAATCCTCCAGGTTGCGGTAGCGCGCGGCGCAAAAGAGGAACGCTTCACGACTGTGACGCATCAATACTGTGAGCATGAGTCGGGGAGGTGATCCTGTTACACGTTTGCCACATCGGATCCTTAAGCGGCGCCTGCGTGGCCCCAGCCACGGCCAGAGAGCGCTTTTTGCGCTGGACCCTCGAAGGTCGACGGGGGGAGGCTCTCGGGCGCTTCTTGCCCCTGTCGGGCCTCCGGAAGCCTCTGGGGACCTGCAAGGACCCTGGGAATCTGGTTCCAGGGCGGTAAAGCAACTTACCACTACCAAGCTCCGCCGCGAGAAAAGCTACGCGCATCTGCTATGTTCGTCCCATCAATGGCGGGTCGCGCCACCCCAAACCATGGTAGATCCCGTCATATTCCAGCGCACTGTAAGCAAACAAATACGACCAACATGGTGGGGGGATCAGCATGTAAGCGCGAGGGCAAGGATGCCCCCTAAACTGACAGCTCTTCGGCCCAAGCTCGGGCCAAGGGCCAAAGGGGGCTGTTCGGGACGATCGCAGCATCTCAGCAAAACTCTCGACGATGAACGCCTGCTGGAATGGGATATAATGGGATATGATGGTCGGGAATCTTCTGAAATCTCTGAGGCCGATGTCATTTGCTCCTTCTCCTCCTCCTCCTCCTCCTCCTCTTCCTCCTTCCTCCCCCTCCTCCTCCTTCTCCTCCTCTTCCTCTTCCTACCTCGTATACCTATCCTTTCTCTCGCTCTCTCTCTCTCTCTCACTCGCTCTCTCTGCTTCTCTCTCTCTCTCTCTGTCCCTGCTCTTCCACAGCGTGCGCCTCCTCCGCATCCTCGTCCTCGCCCTCGCCGTCGTCCTCGTCGTCCTCCTCCCTCTTCCACCGTCCTCTCCCCTCTCTTTCTCCCTCTCCTCCCCCTCATCCTCCCGAGCAACGTGCTGCGCCCGCTTATCCTGCAGCGGCCCCGCCTGCATCCCGTCCTCCCAACCTGGGGTGTAGGTCAGGGTCACCTCCGCGCGGGAAGATAAAAAGCGGGAGGAGGAGGAGAGCCAGAAGTAGCAGAAGCAGGAGGAGGCGAAGGACCAGAGGAAGTCGGACGAGGACGACCTACGCCAGCTGGGCTCCAAACTATTGTGTCAGCATGTCTTCCTGAGATCCAGTGTGCTCTGAACAGACACATCGATGACCAAGCAAAACTAGGCTGAACGCAAACAAAGCATTTGATCAGGCAGGCTAGATTATCTTTGCCACTGGGACTGGGTGAAAAACGGGCCGAGAAGCGACGAGGAAGGTCGCGGAATCGAATTACTCTCGCGGTTTCATCGATCAAATTACCTCACTTATTGAAGCATGAACCAGGTGACATCTCAAAATTCCATCGCCGAGAAAGTGCATGTCCAAACCGGCCGTGCCACCACTGACCGGTGACGAAGCGAGTCTGCCAGCCTGGAAGTTCCAACTCTTGCGCTGATTGGGTGGCGGTCTGTGCTCAAAGTAGCGGTTTCGCCTGCGACTTCCTCACAGCTACAGGTTCTGAACATCACGCCCTCCAAGGGCCCCGCGATTGAAGCTGAGACCTGTTGATGATCGCGCTGCTGCTGCAAACGTCCGCAACGTGTTGCCCTGGCACTTCTACCGTCCAACTGCTACACGGATGGGGGCTGGTCGTTTTCAAAATTGCCATGTCTTGTGTTACCTCCTTGCCCATAGCCCCTACGGACGGCTGTGCTGGGACGTAAAAACTCAGGCAGCGGCAAAACTCGCTGGAGGGCTCTGCCGTCGTTCGGCTACACGCAAGAATGACCCTGGGTAGGAGTAACCTTTGGTGCGCGGCTTTTGGGGGGCCGCGGGGTGACCAAACACAGGCGCGCAAGACGGTACTATCGCATCGCGTTCGGCTATCGGGGGGCCCCAATGTGCCCGCACCAAAGGTCACTCTGGCGAACGGTCACTCTTACGTCTAGTCGACGTTGGGCGCCCTCCCCCGTGTCCATCCCGGGCCTCACTGCGTCAGCAAGCTCAGCACTTCCCAAACAACTGCAGGGAAGGCTGGCGGCTGGTGCGCTTCAAGTCGCGTCCTCGCCTGACCGTCGCGGACACTACTCTCAGGCGTCACAGATACTGCCAGACCTACGACAGAAAAACATCCTTCAAGAACACGAGATCCTCTGCCGGCCAAAACGCACCACAGAACGTCCAAAGGTACCCTCCGCAGGAGGCACCAGAAAATCCGACAAACTCGGAGAACATCATGGCACCCTCCCCGAACCTCGATCTTGTACCTCGGTCCGACCGCACTACTATTGAACGTCTGGAGGCTGGGGGGCGTGAGACCGAAAAATAAAACGGAGACTCCAACTGGAATGTCGGCGTCGATTCGTGCCGTGCGTGCGGGCCTTAGCTGCGAGAGTTCCTGCACTAGCTAGGCCCAGCTCACGCCAAAATGGATCGGGTCCCCGTGCGCCAGGGGACGCCAATGGTTCTCCAGCGATTGTCCTGTGTTTGTCCCGTGGCAATCCCGCGTATGTCCCGTGGTTGTCCAATGGCTGTCTCGCGGTTGCCCCGTGATTGTCCCGTGACTGTCCCGTGGTCGTCACACGGTTGTGCCGTGGTTGTCCCGTGGTTGTCCTGTGGATGCCCGCGATTGTCCCGTGGTTGCCCCATGGTTGTCCCGTGGTCGTCCGTGGTTGTTCTGAGTTAGCACCGTCTTTAAACAAATGGGTATTTATTCAAACAGGTCGATCAATTGCGAGGTCGAAAAATAAACTGTATGAGCGATCGATAGACATCGAAACCAATAGATCGGTTGATGGTGAGAATGACTGGTGAATGCGAATCCGATAGGTAATCAGATCGACTGGTCGATCGATAACGAGATCGGCAAATCGATAGTGAAGCCGACACATGGTTAGATCGGTGTGCCGCGGTAGAGGGCCTTGGAAGGCCATGTCGACACTTTGCGAGCGGGGTGCGGCTAGCGAGAGTGACCAAGGATGGACCGAAGAGGAATGATGCAAGGGTAACCTTGGAAAGTCGCTCATCGTTGCTATGAGGGTTGACTGCAATGAGTGCGAAAGCTACTTCTCTCATTAGACTGGCCTGAGCGGTTCTTTCTTGTTGTTGAACACTGGTGGGAAATGGGCTTGCGCTGGCTGGTGGCGTTCCCCAGGCTGCCGAGGTTCTTCTGGTCTGGTCTCCTTACTGGTTCGAGCTGCTGGCCGTCCTCGGGTTCCCCAGGCAGCACTGCCAAGCAATGCAACGAAATGCCAAACAAGGCAAAGCGATGCCAAGCACTGGCAAGCACTGGGAGGCAATGCCAAGCACCGCCAATCAATGCCAAGCAACGCCAAGCCGTGTCAAGCAATGCCAAGCAACGCCCAGCAGTGCGAGGACATACGACATACCAAGCAATGCAAAGCAAGGCCAAGCAATACGAAGCAAAGCAAAGCAATGGCAAGCAGTGGCAAGCAGCGCCAAGCAACGCCAAGCAATGCCAAGCAATGCCAAGCAGTGCCAAGCAATGTCACGCAAAGCCACGCACCCCCAAGCAGTGGCAAGCTATGCCAAATAATGCCAAGCACTGCAAGGCAATGCACAACAATGCAAAGCAACGTAAAGCAATGAAATGCCAAATGCTGCCAAGCAATGCCAAGCAACGCGAAGGCAATGCCAAGTAAAACAATACACTGCCAATAAATACCGAGCCATTCCGCGTAGGAAGCGTTCACCTCATTGGGGTCGCGCCGGGTCCACATGATAGTGTTGATCGAATGATGGATACGGAGACCTGTATATGGGGAGATCGACCTACATAACTAGATGTACATCCACATGTACATGTGCAACATATATAAGGGTACGAACGTCTACCTATACATGTACGTGAACGTCTTGCAAAGCGGACCCGACGCCACTCGCAAACCAAACAACTGCATCCTTCCTCCCCCCACACCTCCTTCTCACGAAAAGGTGGTCCTTGAGATATTGGCGACAACGGTGGAAAACGGATCCCTAACAAGCAACATGTTTCGAGTAACGCAGTGTGGCCGTTGAGCCGTATACTACAGGCTGTAAACTTTTCACACTTACAACTATCCAGGATCACTCCCCCAGAGAGGGCCACAGGGTTCTGAGTCTTCAAGCCTGCCCGCTACTTCGGGCCCATGGGATTATATCAGTTTCAGCCCTCCCAGGCCCATGCCGTGAGGCAAACCCGTGCACCCACACGATTCCAGCGGGAGTTCGCCGTAACGAGAGAGCAAATTTGAACGCAGCGCATCCATAGCTTGGCGCCCCAGCAAGGAAGGGTGAATATAATATTTGCGATGCGTGCCGGATTTCTTCTGTCAATCTTCCTCCTCCTCCCCGCCACCTTTCTCTCCTGTTTCTGGTTCCTGATCCCTGGTGGCTGCATAATCGTACAAACGAAGCCTCTTCCGCCCCCAGGGCCGGTCGGCCCTGGGGAGGGTGACCGAACCAGGGCCAGGTGACCTCTGGAGCACCGCTCCAGGGGCCAACGGCGGTGGTACATGGAAGTTATAAAGGAACGACAGACAAACGAGGGGAGACGAGGAGGGAAGAACAAGACCTCTCCACCTTCTCTGCCTCCTCTTCTTCGTCCTTTTTTCCTCCTCCTCCTCCTCCTCCGCCCCCTGCCTCCCTCTGTTTTTTCCATCACCCCCCACCAGGTCTTGGTCATCGGACTCCCCATCCTTCATCTTCCACGCCCTGCTCCTACTGCTGTTCCTTTTTCATCGTCCTCCTTCCTCCAGCTGCCCTTCTCTCCCCCATCCTCCTTTTCTTCCCTTTTCCCCCTCGCCCTGTTTCCTCGCCGTCGTCGTCGCCATCGTCGTCGCCGTAGTCCTGCGAAGGCCCCTGTGCATATACATATATACGCACATATGTACATACATTTACATCTATGTATACACATGTACAAACATACATCTATATGGGTATGCATGTATATATACATATATTCGTACACATATATATACATATGTACAACTACATACATATGTAAACAACCAATCGACACATAAATATATGTGTAGCCATATATATATGTGTGTGTGTGCTTATATGGACAGTATTGCCATATCCACAGTTCCACACATAATGATACACAAGTATGCCGCTACAAAGGTGTACATATATATATATATACACACGTATCTGTATACATATATGTTTGTGTGTATATATACACACATATATATATATATATATATGTTTATATATATATATACGCATAACAATATATCAATAGGCGATGGCGTATCCCCCCCCCCCCCACACACACACACACCTGCTGAAATCGATGGTGGCTTGAGACAACGAAATTGACGATGTTGGATGATGTCAGCCAAAACAATGCTCCCCACCCCGTCTAGACCGCCGCGGCTGCTAGTCAGAGCAGCCTGTTCTGCCACGGGCCCCCGTTGGCATACGAGAGGCCCTTGGACGTGCTCTCAACGGTGTCGCCCACGTTCACGTAGAACACGTACTCCTCCATCTCCAGCGCGTCCAGCTGCAACTGGCCGCAGCGCTGGCGGTTCCACCCTTTCGGCCGAGGGTTTTCAGACTCGGCGTCGTTGGCGTGGAAGCCAGTGGCGGGGTCGCGGTAGTCCTCCTCGTGAACGACGGGCGGGGCGCTCTTGTAGCCCAGAGCCTTCGCGGCAGCGGCGGCGGGCGCCCAGCCGTCGTGGACCAGGAAAGTGCCCTTCTCCGCCTTCTCCTCCAACGTGGCCTTGATCTCCCCCAGTCCACGCGGCGCGCCGTCTTGCGCATCTGCCGCCCGCGGAAGAAGTCGATCGGCAATCATGTTGTTCTTCTTCTCCTCGTGCGCGCGCGGTCTTCCCGAGCCCGGCGCGGGTCGCCAGCCGCAGCCACCGCCCAGCATTCTTCAGGTTTGCCGCGGGCTTCTTCGCCACCCTCGCAGCCGCCTTCCTCGTGGCTGGCGCCCGCTTCGCGGTGCCCTTCCTCGTCTTCAAGTCATTCGAATCGCGCTTCGTTGGCTCCTGGTTGCGGTATATCGCGCGCGCAGGCTGCCTCTTCAGGGCGCCCTTCACCACGAGCTTGCGAGTGGCGCGTTGGGTCCTGCGGGGCGCTTGGCGGCGCTGCCTGGCGCCCCGCTTTGATGTGCCCTTAGATTCGACGGTTCACCCGTCCTCCTTGCGCACGCCGATGACGGTCTCGTCGGCGACCGCCGTCTGATTCGGCCCGCCGATCTCGCGGGCGCCCAGGGAGACCGCGCCCTTCCCCAGCGTCTCCTGGTAGAGCCTCCGCCATGCCAGGAGCGCGTCCTTGGTGTTGCCCCCGTAGCCTGCCTCGATCTCAGCTTCGATGTCCTTGCAGGGCCGCCCTGGGCGGATCAAGTTCACGAAAGGCAAGAACGGCATCCGCGAGTTCACATGCGCGCCCTCGAGCCAGCCCTCGGAATTGCACTGCGCACCCATGTGCTTGTGCCCAACCTTGGCGCAGGTCCAACCGTAAGTGGCCCACCCGCGGTTCACGCGGCACTCCAACTTGGCGGGGCCAAAGCACTGGGGGCACTTGTCGCCCGCGCGCCGCGCCGAAACGCATGGATACAGCAGCGGCTCTGATAGTCAGCGTGTCGGGGGTCCCCTTGGACATGATGAGCGGCTTTTTGACGATGTGCTCAACGAAGGCAGTGCGCGAGGAGAGCCACCTTGGAACGCCATGGGCTGCAAGGGGGGCCGACCTCGGCATTGCTCGGGGGCGCGTGCTGCACGGCGAGCTTCGCTGGCGCGGGCGACGAGACCTCGAACCAGAGCGGAAGCTACGCAGCAATGCCGGCCTCGCCGAACACTGGCGGCCAGAACGCATGTTTCAGTCGGTCGGAAGAGCGAGAGAAAGCGCTGAAACAAACATATGGTTACAAGCCTGTGCCTCCAATTCATCTGGGACACAACGGCGCGCGCAACCTCGGCTGCGCGCGCCGCGTCCGTGTCCGAGCTGGGAGCGCCTTCGCTGCCAGAGGACCCACGGGTCGTTCGCTCAGGCGGCCCCGTCGGGGGGCGCCGCCGACGACCCCGAGGCCCGCCGCTCGTCCTGCTCAATCATGCGCCCGAGCTCGGCCTCCAGGTCATCGTCGTCGTCGATGGCGATCGACTCCCCGTGGGCCGACGCGACGATGGAAGCGAATATCGCCTTTTGCTCATCGGCGTCAATGTGGGAGAGCAGGGCACCGCATCCCATCATGAGTTTCCTCGATTTCTTCACTGGCGGTGGCGATGACAAGTCCTCGAAGGGGCCGCGGTGCACCTTGGCGGGGCTCTTGAACATTGCGACCTGCTCGTCGTGGTCCTCCTTTGCCACGTCCCCGCAGCGCCCCGCGATGGGGGGCTGCGCGACGCGATGACACGCATCAGCCTGAAGATTGTACCGATGACGATGCTGATGACGAGTCTCACTCTCGAGGTGCTGTCGATGACAATGGTGGTGACGAGCATGTGAACCATCCTCCTCCCACCTTCCTTCCTCCCTTCCTTCCTCCCTCATTGGAATGTAATGCAATGCGATTGACATGCAATCCGATTGCGGCACAACGCGATTGCAATGCAATGGAATGCAATGCTAAGGAGGGAGGAAGGAGGAGGTGTGAGGAGGGGGGGAGAGGGATGAGGGGAGGGGGAGTGAAATGGAGGAGGGGGAAGGGGAGGGATGATGGAGGAGAAGTGGAAGGGATGAGGGGAGGGTGAATGGAAGGAGGGACGGGGAAGGATGAGGGGGGACGAGGGAGGGGGAGGGACGAGGGAGGATGGGGGAGGGGGGGGGGGGGGGGATGCGAGGAAGGAGGGAGGGGGAGGAGGAGTGGAAGGGTGGAGGGGAGGGGGGCGGACAAATAGAAAAAACAAAAAAAAACTGATTTCGGGAAAACTTCTGAGGGAGGGATGCTCGAGTTTGTCCGAAATCATGTCTTTTGTTGTTCTTATTCGTAGGGTTTTGCTTCATTCCGCCCCCGATGAGGGAATCTGATTGGGAAGAAGAGAGGGAGAAGGAGGAGGAGAAGGAGGAGTGGGAAGAGGAGGAAGGAGCGGAGAAGAAGTGTCGATGCCCTCGAAGCCGTTTCAAAGACGTTGAACAAAAACAAAAAACGAATATTGATTTCAGCAGGGGGGAGTAGCCAGGACCCATCTACATATATTTGGGTACATACATATTTATACCCACATAGATGCAGCAATTTATGTGTGTATACATGTCAACATGGATATACATACGTTGTTCTCAGCGGAGCCGGGTCATATTCCGTGCCCACCGGTGTGACTGACAGACTGACTGACTGAAAAACTGACTGACTGACTGACTGAACGTCAGGAGAGCACTTCCGACAACAAAATTCAAACCGCCCACGCAACCGCAACTGGGCGACACATTTCAATTTGCCCGCGCGCGCAACCGCAACCGCAACTATGCGACACATTTCAACCCGCCCGCGCGCGCAACCGCAAATGCAATCGGGCGACACATTTCAACCCGCCCGCGCGCGCAACCGCAACCGCAACTGGGCGACACATTTCAACCCGCCCGCGCAACCGCAACCGCAACCGCAACTGGGCGACGCATTTTAACCCGCCCGCGCGCCCAACCGCAACGCAACTGGCCGACGCATTTCAACCTGCCCGCGCGCGCAACCGCAGCCGCAACCGGGCGACGCATTTCAACCCGCCCGCGCATTCGCAACCGCAGCTGCAACAAAACGACACATTTCAACCCGCCCGCGCAACCGCAACCGCAACCGCAATCGGGCAACACATTTCAACCCGCCCACGCGCGTAACCGCAACCAAAACTGGGCGACACATTTCAACCCGCCCGCGCGCGCAGCCGCAACCGCAACTGGGCGACGCATTTCAACCAGCCCGGACAACCGCAACCGGAACCGCAACTGAGCGACACATGTCAACCTGCCCGCGCAGACGCAATCTGAACCGCAACCGAGCGACACATTTCAACCCGCCCGCGCGCGCAACCGCAACCGCATGTATGCGACACATTTCAACCCGCGCACGCAACCGCAACCGCAACCGCAACCGCAACTGGGCGACACATTTCAACCCGCCCGGCAACCGCAACCGCAACCGCAATCGGGCGACACATTTCAACCCGCTCGCGCAACCGCAACCGCAACCGCAACTGGGCGACATTTTTCAACCTGCCCGCGTAACCGCAACCGCAACCGCAACCGCAACCAAGCGAAACATTTCAACCCGCCCGCGCGCGCAACCGCAACTGCAACCGGGCGACACATTTCAATCCGCCCGCGCAACCGCAACCGCAACCGCAACTGGGCGACACATTTCAACCTGCCCGCGTAACCGCAACCGCAACCGCAACCGGGCGACACATTTCAACCCGTCCGCGCGCGCAATCGCAACCGCAACCAGGCGATACATTTCAACCCACCCGTGCAACCGCAACCGCAGCCGCAACCGCAACTGGGAGACACATTTCAAGCCAGCCGCGAAACCGCAACAGCAACCGAGCGGCAAAATTCAACGCGCCCGCACACCGCAACCGTAACCTCAACTGGGCGACACATTTCAACCTGTCCCCGCAACCGCAACCGTAACCCAGCCGCGCAACCGCAACCACAACCGAACGACGCACTTCAACCCGCTCGCGCAACCGCAATCGCAACCGCAACCAGGCGACACATTTTAATTCCCCCGCGCGCGCAACCGTAACCGCAACGGGGCGACAAATTCCACCTCGGGTACACACATACATCATGGGTCACCTCGCCCTCGTGTGCACATTCTCTTTTCGGTGTCCGCTCACCTGCGGTCCTCCTGCAGAGGATCTGAGGAGGAAGGAGGGTGGGATGGAGGAGGGAGGGAGGAGGGAGGAGGGAAGAGGGAGGGAGGGATGGGGGGAGCAGGGAGGGGTGGAGGGAGGGAGGAGGGAAGAGGGAGGGAGGAGGCAGGGAGGGGAGGAGGGAGGAAGGAGGGAGGGAGGGAGGACCACGAGGAAGAGGAGGAGGAGGAGGAGGAGGAGGAGGAGGAGTTTTTTTTTCTTTTCCCCCCAGGGGCCATCAAGCCGATCCCTCGGGCCCGCCAGAGGAGAGGGAGGAGGAGGAGGCGAACGCCGCGAGGCCGACGACCGCCTCGCACCGGGAGCCCTTTAGGGGGGGCCAATCCCGCCGCGAAGTTGAAGAACAGCGAGTACTTGGGACGAGAAGCGCAGCGTGTCCCCCACGAAGCACCGCAGGAGGCCAACCGACAACGAGTTGCCCACGGAGACGAGGCCCAGGGGCCTGCAATGGCAGACCAGGCCACACCCTGGGAATAAGAGACACTAGCCCTCCTCCGCGGATAGAGCTCCCGATGAACCAAACTCCTGGCGACAAGCAACGGCACGGGCCCGCTGCGAAGCAACGCTCCAGTATGAGTTCGTCGGGTTGTCGTCCGCAACACTCGGCCACAGCCAATGAGGGTACTCCGCCCATTCATCCAGGTCCGCCTCACGTGGCGAATACACTTCGAAGTCCACTCGCCGCCGATGAAGCGGGGACCGACACTCGCGAAAGCGCTCGATCGGGATCCGTGTGTGCTTCAGCCAGAGGTGCCCATCGTCATCGTCGCGGAAATCAGGAAGGTCCAGCGAGGTCGGGCGAGGCCGAGGGCGAGGACCAGAATCAACCACCGAGCGCGAGCGCCCAAAAAGAGCCGTCAACTCCGTCATTGTCTGCTCAATGGTGTGCTGTAGCTCAGCGAACTGGCTCTTCACCACAGCGGGGACCTCAGCAGGCTGCCCACGAGGAGGATCAGGAGCAGGACGAGGAACAGAGTCGACAGGAAGATCTGCCAGACTAGCCATGCCCTGAGGAGCATCAAGAATGTCGCCATGCTCATACATCATCAAATCTACAATGTCGCTCTGGGTCTCGCTCGGCGTCAGCACGTCATCCGCACGGACTGCGGCATCAGGGCCGCCACGAAGTTGAGCACCAGTACCCTCTCGAAGACCATCCGCGTCTCCAAGTAGTTCAGAATCCAGGCCTCCATGAGCAGAAGCGCTGCCAGCACTATGAACACCAGCTTCAGGAACGGCCTTCCCATGATGATAGTCAAGCTCCTGTAAAATGACGTCCACTACCGCCAGGCGGCATCTTGAACTCAGGCGCATCTCGGTTCCAAACAAACGCAGGAAAGTGAGGAACGTCAGGTAGGCAAGGGAGGGGATCGCCACCATCTGCACATCGACGAGGTCGTTTCGCAGTGCCATAGAGTTGCCATGCACCAGCACAACCTCCACTCCATGGGTCGCTACCTCCAGGACCATGCCAAGGGTCAGGTAGGTCATGCTCTGCGCGATGGCGATGGCCATGCCCACCTCCGCCACCAGGGTCATCGCCACCAGCCCCGTCATCGTCGTCATCATCTGGCCCAAGAGGGGGGGCGGCCGCTGGGGAAGAGAGCCATAACCCGATCTCCTGGCGCCCGTCGGAGTGGCGATGCCCTCGGTCGACCGCCACGTGCGTGCGCAGGAGGCCCTCGACGCAGAGGAGGATGCTCAGCAGCACGTCCCGATTGTTGTCGCTGATGGCAGGGCCCGCTGGGTCCAGGATGATCTTGACCTTGGAGCGCCCATGCACCGAGGCCGAGCCGACCGTGATGTGGGTGCACACCCCCTGGAGGATGTGCCGCCGAACCCACTGGAGCCGCCCTGCCACCACCATCGCCGCGCGGGAGGGGGAGGAGGAGGAGGAGGAGGAGGAGCAGGTGCTCCCTAGAAGCTGCCAGGCCAGGCAGGTGCCTGAGCAAAAGCAGCTAGAGGAGGAGGAGGAGGAGGAGGAGGAGGAGGAGGAGGAGGAGGAGGAGGAGGAGGAGGGAGAGCAAGAGCAGGACGAGAGAGAGCGGGAAGAGGATGGGCAGGATGACCAGGAGGAGGAGGACGACGACGACAATGAGGAGGGAGATGCAGCGGTGGTCGTGTTCCAGGGGGTTGTAGGAGCAGGCGCCGATGGAGGAGAGGACCCGATGGTTCGATGGGAAGATGGAGGGCCAGGAGGTTGCGAAGGAGGAGGGGGAGGCCGATGATGAGGAGGGGGAGAAGGAGGAGGAGGAGGAGGAGGAGGAGGAGGAGGAGGAGGAGGAGGAGGAGGAGGAGGAGGAGGAGGAGGAGGAGGAGGAGGAGGACGAGGACGCGGCTCTCCGCCGGGACATTGCAGCGGTGAATCCCCATTCCACGCTGCTGCCTCTGATTAAATATGCCTCCCCCGCGCCCCCGCTAAGCCTTGGCCCCCGTGCACATGTTGAACTCCTCCAAGCGAGGGCCCCACAGGTCGTCCTGCAAGGGCCGCGCCGGCCAAACTGGGGACAGAGGGGAAGCGAGGGGAGGAGGGGAGGAGGGAATGGGGGGGTCAGGGATCACTGACAACCTTCCAGCGTCCTGCAAGGGCCCAAGGGCCGCGCCGGTCAAACTGGGGACAGAAGGGGAGTGAGGGGAGGGCAGGAGAGGATGGGAGGGGGGTCATGGATCACTGACCAAACTTCCAGCGTCCTGCAAGGGCCGCGACGGCAAAACTTGGGACAGTGGGGGAGCGAGGCGAGAAGGGGAGGAGGGGATGGGGGGGGGGGGTCAGGGATCACTGACCGAACTGCCGGGTCTGCGAACGGGTCGCCATCGGGACACCAGTTGCTGCTCGGTGCGCGCCCCAACTCGCAGCCTGTTTCTGGGGGGCACGAGCAACTAGCAAGGGCCCGCCCTGGCTAGCAACCCTTCGGGAGTCGGGGGGAGGAGGGGGGGCAAGTAGGCCAGCGAGCGTCCTCCTCCTCCTCCTCCTCCTCCTCCTCCTCCTCCTCCCTCCTCCTCCCTCTTCCTCCTCCTCCTCCTCCTCCTCCTCCTCCTCCTCCTCCTGCTCCTCCTCCTCCTCCTCCTCCTCCTCCTCCTCCTCCTCCTCCTCCTCCTCCTCCTCCCCCTCCCCCTCCCGCTCTCCCTCCCTCCTCTTCTGCCTCCTCCTCCTCCTCCTCCTCCTCGCCTTCATCTGCTGCATGGTGCGCGGCGCTTACGGCACCACCCTTGGGCCAGGCCTGCCTGGGAAAGGCGAGCAGGAAAAGCCGAGAGGCGCTCGCCCGCATCAAGATGGGCGTCTACCCAGGCCGTGCGGGCCCACCTCAGGCAGCGAAGAAAGCTCTGGAGGTCGCCACAGTGGCAGATAGCATCTGCAGGAGCCCCGCCGTTTCCTACAGAGCAGATGCTCGCCAACGACCTTCGGGTGCCGATCAAGGCGACGACGACGAGAACGAGCAGGTCCACGCCCCCTTCCCGGATTACCTGGGCGCGCTGGAAGCGGAGGCCACCGCGGCCGCGGCGCCGCCCCGCGCCCCGAGCTCCGCGGCCCCCCGCGGGCGGGTAGAGCGCCGCAGACGGGGCGCTAGGAGGAGAGAGCCCCCTGCGGGAGCAGCGCCGCTGCCCCCAAGCGGCGGGCTTCCCGCGAGCGCGGGCGCTGGGCCGCGGCCCCCGCGCAGCGAGCTGGAGGATGCCGAGAGGGAGCGGCGCACCCTGGCCCTGCCGCGGGCCCCGCGGCACCCACCGTGGCTCGCCGCCAGCCTTCAAAGCCGAGCCCGCCGTGCAGGCCGCGGCCCCGCGCGAGGTGCTGCCCCTCTAGCGGCCGCGGGCGCCGGCGCGGGCCGCGGGCGCGCGGCCTGCCTTCAGAGGGGCTGTGCCCGCGGCTGCGGCGAGCGGGAGTTGCCGCGCGAGCTCCTCGCTCGCGCGCAGCGGGCCCCGCACGCGGCCCCGAGAGGGCAGCCCGCCGCAGCTCCGTCGGGGGCCCGCCCGCGCGAAGGCCGCCTAGGCTGCCGCGCGACGGGCGTGACCCGCACTCCTCCGGGGGCTTCCCCTCACCCTCATCCTGGTGCCAGCGCCACCTAACGCGGGACACTGTCACTTGGAATCGACGCATGGGCGTTGTCGTAGTGGAGGGTTCAACTCCCTCGCAGCATTGGTTCCATGAGCAGGTGAGGCACACGTTTGTCCTCCTGGGTCCGCGTAGCTGGCCCGCAGCAGTAGGGCCGGTGCAGCGGGGTTCGCAGTATCAGGACCAGTATCGTCTCCAAGGTGTGAGTTTCGTTCACCCCAGCACCACCTGAGGCGGTACAGCACCTCGGGGAAGGTGGCCGCAAGTGAGCTGGCGTCAAGCTCTTGTCCTATCCCAGCGCACCTTTTCGTCTTGGTGCACCCTTCGGGGACGACTACCGTTGTCGTTTGCACATGCTCCTACATGCTCCTCCCCCTCCCCTCCTCCTCCTCCCCTAGTCCTCCCCCTCGTCCTCCTTATTCTTCCTCCTCCTCCTCCTCCTCCTCCTACTTCTCCTTCATCCCTCCTCCTCCTCCTCCTCCTCCTAGTCCTCCCACCCCTCCCCATCATCTCACCACTATTCCCCCCCTCCTCCTCGTCCGGCTCCTCTTCCACCTCCTCCCCCTCCTCCTCCCTCTCCTCCTGCTCCTCCCTCGCTCCCTTCTAAGCAACTCCTCCCTGTCACACCCCGAGGCCGGTCGAAGCGGCGGGCTGGGCATCTCGCCCGAGACTTCCTCACCGTGTGCGATCCCGAAGCTCAGCAGTTGCAGCAGTTCCACGGATGGAGGGCGGGCCGCTTCCCAAAAATGTGGCTCTCGCCGTGGCGCCGCAGGGCATTTGTCTCATCAGCTGTCTGCAGCAGAAGTTTCGCTACTGGCGGGCGGGCGGTTCTCAAAGCGTGGCCTTCGCCTTAGCGCCGCGCACAGTCGTTTCAAACATTTGCACGAGTTCCACGGATGGGGGGCGGATCGTTTTCAGAATGCGGCTCTCACCTTTGCGCCGCGCACATTTGGTTTCAAACATTTGCAGCAGTTCCAAGGATTCTCATGGTGAATGTTCCAAATATGGTGTTTTGGCGCGATGTCGGAATGTCAGGGCGCGACAGTTAGGTTGATTCGCGGCGTTGAAATCCCAGGAATGGTGTTCCGACGCGATCAGGATCGTCATGAGGCAACAGCAACGCTTAATTCGCAGCGTTGGAGTTCCAGGAACGGCGTTCTGGCACAATTCCAGACTTCGAACTTCTGTCTTCCAACGGAGCACTTCCTTCAGTGGAAACGAACCCTTGCATGGGGCTATGAAGAGGTTGGACGGAGGACCTGCTGCAATATCATTCATGAGTCTTTAGCTTACACGGGTCCTCCTCCTCCTCCAGCTCCTCGTCCTCGTCCTCCTCCTCCTCCTCCTCTCCTCCTCCTCCTCCTCCTCCTCCAGCTCCTCGTCGTCCTCCTCCTCCTCCTCCTCCTCCTCCTCTTCCTCATCATCATCGCCATCATCATCATCATTATCATCATCATCATCATCATCATCATCATCATCATCATCATCATCATCATCAGCATCAGCATCAGCATCATCATCATCATCATCAGCAGCATCATCAGCATCATCATCAGCATCAGCATCATCATCATCATCATCATCATCATCAGCATCACCATCATCATCATCATCATCATCATCATCATCATCATCATCATCAGCATCATCATTATCATCATCATCACCATCAATATTGGTCCTCTTCTTCCTCGTTCCCCATCGTTTCCTGCTGCTGCTGCTCCTCGTCCTAACCGTCCTCCTCCTCCTCTTCTTCCTCCTCTGCATGATGCTTCCGCATGGCAGAGGCAGAGTTTCGAGAGAATGGTCACATGAAAGAACACCTTCGTGGAAGAGACAGTACTCAATAAACGTGAACTTCGAACAGCCCTCTCCACATGCTCGTTCGTTTCTGCGGCGGTCTGAACAAAAAACACTCGTTTCCAAGCGTGCTCGTCACTGTCTGTGATAAGTTGGTAACAGCCCTTGCGCCTGCCTGCGATTGCCAACCAGGAGGATATTCGGCATCCCACCTCTTCTCCTCCTCCTCCTCCTCCTCCTCCTTCTCCTCCTCCTCCTGCTCCTCCTCGTCCTGCTCCTGCTCCTCCTCCTCCTCTTCCTCCTCCTCCTCCTGCTAGTCCCTCATCCGTTTCCTCTTCCCCTTCCTGGTTCTCCCCCTCTTCTCCTTCTTCTTCTGCGCCAGCTCCTTTTCCTGATACTTAACTCCTCCTTGTCGCACCAACAGAGATGTCCGTGGGCCGGGCGAGGCGTTCCGTCCTAGATCCCCTGGCAATTGATCATCCCGAAACTTCGAAAACCCAGCATCTAGATTGATGGGGGGGGTCCTTTTCAACATGTAGCTCTCGCCTTAGCGCCGCGCGCACTCGTTTCTTATCTTGCAACAAAAGCGTGCACGGATGGAGGCCAGGGCCTTTTCAACATGGTCCTCTCGCCTTAGCGCCGTATGCATTCGCCTTCACGCAACAATTTTCCATGCAGCACAGACCCATCATGCGTTTCCACGCCTCAGCCAGCACAGCGAAAGGATACGCATTGCCACTGCAAAATGCCCCCACGCACGAGAGAGCTAGGCAATCCTGACGCCGATGGTTCCTCTCGAAGCGCGCCGCCGAGGATGCGTGCAACAGGAGGGAGGAGCAAAGCGTAGGAGGACGCGGGCCGGGAAAAAAGACCACGGTGTTGTGGGCGGGAGCCCATGGCCCAACCGGCCGTGTATATAACCCACACAATGGCAGTCAGGAGGGGGAGCAGGAGCAGGAGGAGGAGGAACAACGAGAGAATCGACAGAGGAAAGAAGGCAGCAAGCTAATGAAATACAGAACTCGCGCGTGCGAAGCCCGACCTCCACGACCAATGCCGACATAAGCGCACGCACCAGGATCCCACGCGAGTCGAAAACAGAGAAACCTGAGCAAAGCCTCGAGCCTAGGCAGAGGGGCTGCGCCCAGTGAGCGAGCGCACAGTGCAGCAGGCACGTGACGAAGGCCAAACATTGGGTGCACGCGCGCGCCAAGATGATGCAAATCTGACTGGAGGGCACGGCGGTGCACTGCAAGGAGTCGATGCTCCGCCGCGGCTGAGGGGCGAGCCTGCGCCAATAAAGCGGCCCAGGGTCGGCTAGCAGCGGCCGCAGAACACCTGCGCGCCTAGCCCGTGCATGCAGTGGCATCCCACCATCAAGTTGTGGCAGGAGGGAGGAGACAGGAGGGAGGGAGAGGAGCCAAAAAAGAACAGATGAGCGGGCCACGACGGTGCCCTGCATGGAAGCGCTGCTCCGCAATGGCTGGAGGGCGAACCTGCGCAGAAGAGCGGCCCAAGGACGGCCCACAACGGCCACCGAACACTTGCGCGCCATACCCGTGCAGGCGGTAGAAGCTGGTTCGTTTCCTAAATG